CATAGCACTGGAGGAAGCCGGACACTCCACCCTAATCATTTTAGTATGCAAATGAGTTTTGTACTTCGCTGGCGCCATGTTGTCTGCTCTTTACTGTACACGTGGTTGGCAAAAAAAGGGAAGATGAAGCCGCCATTTTGAACATGCCTTGTCCCCAGGTAGCCCCTTTCCTGTTGGCACAACTGCTGGCATTTACCTGGGCAAAGTTCTAGCTTGCCTTTCCATGTCTGCAGCTTGATTTTACCGATTGCTCTTTGTTTGAAAAAAAAAAAAAAAATGATTTGGAGGCTGCTTTTCTTAAAAAGGAAAACCTTATTGAGGACTTATCACCATCTGCCTAAATAACTTCTTCCTAACTCCTATTTTATTACCATTATGTATAATCTTCCATTAAAAGTGAAAATTCAGAGAAATACAAACAGGACCTATGGTGAAAATACTTTTTAATTGTATCTCCATTCCCTGCCCTAACTTCATTCACTCTCCAGCTTGCTGATGCTTACATAGCTTTTACATTTTCTGGCTCCGTTTTTCTTTCATTTATTTATTTTTGAGACAGAGTCCAGCTCTTTCACCAGGCGCCAGGCTAGAGTGCAGTGATGCGATCTCGGCTCACTGCAACCTCTGCCTCCCGGCTTCAAGAAATTCTCCTGCCTCAGCCTCCTGAGTAGCTGGGACTACAGGTGCACGCCACCACACCCAGCTAATTTATTTTAGTATAGAGACGGGGTTTCGCTATGTTGGCCAGGATGGTCTCGATCTCTTGACCTCGTGATCCACCTGCCTCAGCCTCTCAAAGTAGTGGGATTACAGGCATGAGCCACCAGGCCCCGCTTTTTTTTTTTTTTTTTTTAAATTTTGAGACGGAGTCCTGCTCTGTCACCCAGCTGGAGTGTGGTGGTGGGATCTCGGCTCACTGTTCAAGTGATTCTCCTGTCTCAGGCTCCCAAGTAGCTCGGATTACAGGTGCCAACACCACACCCAGCTAATTTTTGTACTTTTATTAGTAGAGACAGGGTTTCACCACATTGGTCAGGCTGGTCTTGAACTCAATCTCAGGTGATCCATCTGCCTCGGCCTTCCAATGTATTGGGATTATAGGTGTGAGCCACCGTGCCTGGCTGGTTCAGTTTCTTTTAAAATGTATGCAAAATGATCCCATGTGAAACAGAAAACTTTGGTGCCATGTCTAAATATCCATGCTTACTTAATCATTACCACCTCTCTTAATTAACATATTTGCTGTAAAACAATATTCTCTCACACTGTACAACTTTTCTGCATATTTCTGAAACTTGACAGGAGGGACTACAGAAGTTCTGTTTCATTCTAGTTTGGCTGTAGCTTCTGCACCTTATCATTGCCAGAGGTTTGAAAAATATAGATTCTTTGGCATGTCCTCAATCTTATAGAGTCAGTGTTACAAACATAATTTCCATTTTTAAAAAGATTCACAGGTAATCCTGATGCATAAGGCAAAGACTGCTTCTGCCTGTTTCTGTGATGTAAATCAAGACAGGCTATAATTTTGGGCTCACTGCTGTAAAAACAAAGGAAGAACATGCCCAAGGAATGAAGTTATTATGATTCATGGATACCGGAGTGCCTGGAGTGGTTGAAAATTTTTACTTAAATAGTACTAGAGTTGTAGAATGTCAAAAAGAAGGCACAATCTGCAGGAGAAAAACATCAATGCTTGCTAAATTTGCTAATTTTTTTCTAATTGTGTCTTGGAGAGGAAGGAATGTAAGTTGTTATGATGTCCAGAAAAAAGGGTGGCAGAACTGGGGTGAGATTTAAAAAATGTCCTAATAATGGATAATGGATAGAAATGGATAGAACTTGTCTTTTATTATTATTATTATTATTATTATTATTACTGAGGCAGGCTTAAGATAGAGCCAAGCTGCTTCCATTGTGTTGCTGAACATTGTAACATCAAAAAAGTTTTAAGATTCTGAAAGCCAAACTTGTCTGTTTTTTACTATTTTATCTTGGGTTTCTGGAGTCTATGAATATGAGAACTTGGCGGGGGCGGGGGGAGACATTAAAAAGGAAGCTTATTTTCTATTGCTCTCCTGAATAAATCCTATTACTGTACACTATAATGTATACCATATATTAAAGAATTCCACTCAATGATTCTATTTGCAGATTCCACACTGAGGGATTAAATTATATAATCACTAAAAATGAAATTTGGAAATCTTTAATAAATAATCATGTAAGCTGTTAATGTTAGATATAACAAGGGCTCATATATTTTAGCAACTAATTGAACATCTGATACATGATTAGGAATGCACATATTGCTAAATATCAGGTCTTTGAGATGATTAGATTCAGTTTAACAAAAATAATTTAATGGAATGAAATGATGTGGAAGTCAATGACACAACCAATAAAGCTACAGGAATGAGCAGTTCTAGAGAAAATGGAAAGGTCGTGTAGCTTCTTTAAGACATATGGCAATCATATAAATACACCTAGGGCATCACCATTCTTAGAAGGTTTAGAAGTTCTAGACTCATTCACCTTGTCAACTAATCTTATAACTAAAATACTTATCCTGAGAACTTAATTTTGTATCTTGGAGCATCAAACTGAACAGAAACTAATCTGAACTTAAACTCCTCGGCCTATACTTCTAAAGGCTTAGTTTAGATGTCTGACATTATGGAATGGTGAAACATCATGGTCTTCGATGTTCAGCTTCAGAGAGTTTAAATTTTATTTTGGTCACTTATGTTTCATAGGCCTGTGCAAGTTATTTAGCTTCTCTAAGACTCAAAATTATTTTCTGTCAAGTGATGTTAATAGTTCCTAATATACGATTCTAGAGACTAAATCAAATAATACTAATAGAGGACTACTCAGTAAACAAATGCTTCTTTCCTCTCTCTAGCCTTTCTTAGGGCGGATTAGGAAAAGTAAATATCTTCATATGATTTGCAAAGTCAATTTGCATCTCTCCATTAGAAGTGGTGAGTAATTGATGAGTCTTATTATTAGGACTTTCCCTCCAGAGAGACAGAGAAAGAGAGAGAGAGACAGTTAAAGTCCTTCCAGTAAGCATAAATTACATGGTATCACTCAAGATCAATTTACAACATTAATAATAGCTGTATGTTCTGTCATCATGTATTAGTGTTTGGCGAAAGAAAATTGGACTGGAAAATTAGCAGGATTAAAGAATAAAGTGAAGAATCAAGTGCCTTGGTTAATAACGCACAGAGGCCCTAGGAATGAAATCGCCCAATGGGTTCATTGCCTGCTGCCAGGATAGAGCCGATTTATCAAGACAGGGAAATTGTAATACAGAAAGTTTAATTCATACAGAGCCAGCTGAATAGGAGACTGGAGTTTATTATTACTAAAATCAGTCTCCCTGAAAATTTGGAGACTGGGATTTTTTAAGGATACCTTGGTGGGTAGGGGGCCAGGGAATGGAGACTGCTGATTCATCAGGTCAGAGATAAAAATCATAGAGTCTTGAAGCTATTCTTGGCTGAGTCAGTTCTTGGGTGGGAGCCACAAGACCGGATGAGCCAGTTTATCCATCTGAGTGGTGCCAGCTGATCCATGGAGTACAGGAGCTAAAAAATACCTCAAGCACCAATCTGAGGTTTCACAATAGTGATGTTATCCCTACGAGCAAGTGGTGAGATTTAGAATCTTGTGGCCTCTAGCTGTATGACTCCTAAGCCTATTTTCTAATTTTGTGGCCAATTTGTTAGTCCTACAAAAGCAGCCTGGTCGCCAGGCAAGAAGGGGGTTTGTTTTGGGAAAGGGCTGTTATCATTTTTGTTTCAAAGTTAAACTATAAACTAAGTTCCTTCCAAAGTTAGCTTGGCCTGTGCCCAGGAATAAACAAGGACAGCTTGGAGGTTAGAAGCAAGATAGAGTCTGTTAGGTCAGATTTCTCACAGTCGTAATTTTCTCACTGTTATTATTTTTTGTAGGAGGTTTCAGGAATATCGCCTATTGAGTAACCACTCCTACTTTCACTGGCACAAATTGGTATCTTGATAATATCTGTATTTCTAGTAGAAAACCATTCACAATCATAGTGAGGTAAACCCAAGAGAGAAAAGAGACAATAGACAGATTTCAATTTACTCAAAGAAAACTGAACTTTGGCGCAAAAGGATCTTTTATCATTTGGGGGAATGATTTATTAACATTTCCATTATTAAACACATTTTTAGACTACTACTATAAATTCACATATATTAGAGAGGGGACTGTGTTAAGGAAAACCGAGTCCACAAGAGGCATGGTTTCAAAAACAGGAACTTCCTAGCACCATGCCTCCACCCGCGTCCCCATTCGGAACCTGGAGTTCTCTGTCTGACTTTCCAGCGCGCTGGCTAGGTAGAAATTCCAGGTGAGCGCCTTTGTTCAAAAAGCCCGCGAAAAGCTCTGGGAGGAAGGGCCTCTGTTGTGGACCTAGCAGCCAATCCAGTATCAGAATCAAAGATCAATCACTGCAGAGGAAGTTTGAAAGAACTCCCCTCATTGGACAAGAACATGAATGGAGCGGGAATAACTCCAGCGTTAAAAGACCACCGCCCCTTTCCTGTGCGGATTTCCCTCTCTGGGATCCCCTCCTATGTCAACTTGGGAGCTGTTTCTCCCTCTCTCCCTACACAGTTATTCCCTTTGGATTCCCCTCCCATGGCAGTGTCGGAGCGCGCGCTCTCTCTCTGCTTAATAAATTGCTTTTTGCTAAACTCTTTGGGTCCGATATTTACTTGAACTGGTAAGCTCACTGGGCTGCGAGGGCCCTTTCCCCATTCGTGGGGCAAGTGAGCCCAAGAACCTGGACACATCCTGTTGGTTACATCTTCGGGGACCACGGGGAGGGAGCTGAGCCCCTGTTGTCTCGCCACCCAGTTACAAAAGGAAATACACATACTTATGCATCATTCCTTGGGAAACCATTAAGCTCTTCTGACATACTAAACAACTATTTAAAGATTAGCAAAAAGTATCTTTCCCTTTGCCATTACTAAAGAATGTGTTTTACACACTGAAAAGTCTCTAGAATGTAAAATCAGGGTTTTGAGAACATTTAGATCTTAAATTTCATAATTTCAAGCCAGCAGAGGGCTCCCTACTGTAACATGATTCTGTACACACAAAAACTCTGCAAAAATAGTTGGTAAGGGACCAAAGCAGGATTTAATATTTGTTACAGGCTTACATATTTTCTATAACTATGTGTAAAATTAAGCAGTGTAAAAAGAATGAAGCAAAGCCAAACCCACTTCTGATACTTGAGATAGAATTTGTTACATTTCCATCATGCAAAATTTAATTTTCCTCTGTTGTTCCATTTGGAAAACTAAATGTGCTACAATTCTGTATCCTGAGTTCACACAGACACCTGCAGATTCTCTTAATACTCCAATATTTTTGTCCATTCAAAGATTAAATAACATATTTCTAATATGAGATTATCTACTAGTCAGGCTCTTTAACCCAGTGATAAATACAGGCAAAGCTCAATGAAGGACACCATTATTTTTTTTAATGCATGCATCTTTGATTATTTACATTTATTAAATTATTAAATTTTAACTTGATTTCAAGAAATATTGGAGAAATGAACAACAAATAATTTTTTAAAACTTTTTCCAGTCCTCCTTCTTTGGACTTCATCCTGCTTATCCCTGTCAGTTTCCTCCTAATGAAACACTTGGCGGATTTTTACAATCCCAATGAACAATGTACACACAACACCTTGGGTAATTTTATTTAGAGAATTAACATTGCTGTGGCAATTTTAAGTAATACAGAATTGCTGCATTCTGCTCAGTCTGCCAAAACAAACTGATCAAGCATATTAGAGAAATGTATGACAAAGCAACCAGTTGAACACACTAATTCTGACAAATTCTATTGATTTTTCTTTCCCTGATGTCTTTTTCTGGAATGCAGCTCCTTAGGTAATATGGTTTGGAAAGGTAAATGAGGCCTTAGTAAGACAACTAATGTAATACATTTTTATGGCTACAAATCTGTATCTATGCATAAATTTAGCAAATATCAAAGGAAACATTGTTAAATCGATGCAAGGGCAATATTCCTTCTTTTTTACTGTTTTTTAAGTTTTATCTCTTCTTTTTATACTTGTCTTATATGCTATTGGTTAATATAACATCATTATATTTGAAATTTTTTTAATTGTAGCAACAAAGGGGGGAAGTAACCACAACTGACTTTAATTTTGATAGAAAATAACAAATGTGAAAAGCAAACAATAGTAAATAAGTAATTTTACCTTTCATTAAAGAAATAGTTCATATAAGCATTATAGAAGATAATTACATTTTAATATGCAGTCATAATATGGTTATGGACAACTGATTAAAAGAAGAGAATGATGTACCAATTCAGGTTATTTCCAAGGGCCAGAGGTGAGTTGTTTCATGCTTCTAACTCCCCAGAAAGCAATGCAAATGGAAAAAACAATCTGAAGAAATAAAACACAAACAGAAAAAAAGGGTAGAAGTGAATCAATACTTTTGCTCAACTGAATTAAAAATATTTCCCTAGAGGAAAATCAACAGGGACATTTTAGGCAGTCAAGTTATTTAAATTAAACGTAGCAATTGTTCTCTGATAGAAATTAGCCAATTTAACTTAAAACATGGCATGTGAAGACAGGAGCTGGAGTTAAGAGTTTTATTTCTGTGGCTTTTTCTTATCTTCACAAATCTGGGCCATTTCAAGCAATGGGGCTAGTAAGTTAGATATTCAAACCTTTCTTCTGACATCTGGGGTACAGCATGTTGTACGTATTATGTTAAATGATCTAATTGCTTACATAAGTTAAGAAACCTTTGGAATAGGAGAAATAAAAACATGGTTAAAGAATCCCTCCAAGGCAATATGATCTACCTTACTATGAACTTCACCCAACGTGAATTAAATTCACACTGCTGCTGATTTACCTCCTCAGTCTTCTGATCTTATCAGGTGTAAAAATGTAACTGCAAATTTCTTTCACACTGAAGACTTAACTAAATCATATTAAAGCACCCTCAAAAGTTCGTTGAGTTTGTTCACTCCAGGTACTGGTCATCGTCTTTGCACCATCAAGTTTCCCAAAAGCAAGCCCTTCCCTTTGCTCTTACCCAAGCACTAATAATTAAAACGATAGGATTGCTTTCCTGATCACCATTTGAGTTCAGGGAGTACTGGAATGATGATGAAAGCAAACAATGCTAAAACAACCAGATTTATTGGGATAGCTGTGTGGGAGTTTCTCCATATTTTTTCATATATGTGTGTATTTCCCCTCCAAACTATTAAAATAGGACCAGATGCCTCTCCCCAAGAAGAATATCACTATACCTGGAAGATTCACTAAAATATACAAAGAGAGCACATTTAAGTCATAAGATGAAGTCATGGGAGCATTCTAGGGTAGGAAACTGTGGTAAAGTCAAGACTGTTAACTGAGGACAGCTGTTAATTCACAGAAAATACCTTGAACTGTGCTGATTTTGCTATTAAAGCATGAATAAGGAAAAAACGTCAACAACAATCAAAATACAAACAAGCCAAAAATCGCTCGCAGACAAGGATATTTAGATTTACGAGTGGGTTGTCCAGTTTCATATGAGCCTCCTGGATCTTTCTAGAGAACCACCATCCTCCACATTAGCCAGTTTGATGCACCTCTACAAATTCATGCATTCCTTTTAGCATACAACACCCACAATATGAAAAATATTAAAAATAAAATCAGCAGTTAAATTGAAGGAGAAGTCAAGAATAATATTAACATTTTGGAGTTGCCTCAGAAGTCAAATACAATATATTTAAAGGCTGGTTTTGATTTTGTTTCTTTTGACTGTAGCTCAAGATGAATGACCTCATGGGATTTCTTCTGGTGGTGCCAGGTAAAATAATACAGCGATGGGGGTCGTATTTGTGAAAGCTCTAAGACTCGTGCAGTGAGTCGCAGCATTTGTCCATGAAAATGGGTTAATGCTGAGAATGGTGCTGAGAAGGTGGCTTTTCCAGTGAGAGATGATAAATCTATAATATCAGAGTAAATCATTTACTTTAGATCAAGAATATTCATCAGGCAACTAATAGATACCTTGTGTTGTGCAGGGTGGAGGAATCTAAACTATATTTGGCAATAGAAGTCTTTATTGTACAGTCACAAGGATAATCTCACTGAGGGAAGGCTGAGGAGAATTACTTCAGTGAAACCTCAAAGTTGTATATAAAGTTTTCAGGGTATTCTCATAAATCTTGTAAATCTCCTCTTTTCCACTCTCAGTTCCCCTAGGCTGTCTATACTTTAATCTCAACTCCCAGTACTATTAAAAAGTTTTACCTAAAGAGAAAGTGGAAGAGATGGCAATTCTAGTTATGCCTTGTTATTAATCCACCATTTCCCACTAAATCTTTCCACCTTTGAAACTGTGATTCACATCCTTTATTCTCTAGGACCTACCTCTAACTAAATCACAAAAATCTTCAATTATCTGAAATGCTTTTAAATTCCTACCAAAAATGCAGTGCTGCAGTTCACAGTCTTATTTTGTTTGGTTGCTTGCTTGCTTGTTTCAGGCTCCTATGTCTTATCCCTTCAAAGAGATGTACAACTGGTTAAGCCTAGGGCTCAGGATCTGGTTGTATTGATGTGCACTGGAGACCTCTGCTTAGGCCAGCATTGTGCTACAGGCCGTTATTAGATTATGTCACCCAATTCTCATGACAAACTTTGGAGTACTGGTATCCAATTTGGCAATGGGACAGTGGGAACTCAAAATTCATGTGGTATTACCAAGGAATCACAGAACTACTAAATATCAGAGCTAGAATAATGTTTCACATTTACCTAGTAACCCCAAGAAAATCTAACTGCAAAACCTAGGAAATCATTTCAAAGAATATGAACATTCATAGTGAATTCATTTCCTTTTTGTAGTCATCACTTGGATTTTCCTAGTTATTGTTTTTTCTTGTGTCAGTAACTGCTAGGCTTCTGAGACCTTTTCACAATCAATATCTTAAGAACAAATTTGGAGTTTTTACATATAATAAAATCCAGATTGGCACAAGATCATAGAAATAAAATAAAATGTGTCCTTCTAAAACTATGTGATTCTGAAATATTCACCATTCCATTAGAAAATATTTCAGTAGAAGAAAACAGTTGATTTTATATTTTAGAATATATGTTTTTATATATCATAGATAAGGTATAATAGATCCAAATATACATTGCACATATAATTTTAAGCCAGAGAATTATTTAGTGTAGAATCAATATAACCACTTGATTACTGTAGTCACTCCATTTAAAATTTTCCTTTGTCCAACTGCTCTCTTGATTTTTATATTAAGCCATTTATTTTAGTTCTTCTTCATTGATTAGACTGAATGTATCACTTTATTTCATAGTTCATTAACACATTTCTTAAATATTTGTTAAATAAAGACAGAATTCCTACCTAGGATAGTAGAAAAATAGAAGAAAACTGTAGACTTTTTATTTTGCAATATTCATCTCTAATCTCTAGATATGATGTTTCCGGATATATACAAACTCAATGCACAATTATTTTATCCTAGTTCTAGGCAAGCCCCATGATTTTAACAGCTGGATTCAAAATATAAAGCAGAGGAAGTTCATTCTTAGTGTCAAGCCCTCCTTGCACTAACACATCATTAGTGGTCCTTGTCTTCAGGCTATTTCCTTGACTTCCCAGGAACCTCAACTCTGATGCCTGAACTTTGCCCTGTACAGATGCTGTCACGTTTCCACCATGCCTTTCCAAAAAGTTCATCAATTGGCAGGTGGCTAATCTGTCACTAATCCATATCAGAAGCCTAGTGGTGACTGGCATTTTATTCTGCTGCTCCTCTCGGGCGGGGTGGGGTGTGTGTGTTGCTTTTGTTTTAAGAGACAAGGTCTTGCTATGTTGCCCAAGCTGGACTCCAACTCCTGGGCTCAAGCATTGCTCCCATCTCAGCTTCCCAAGTAGTTGGGCCAATAGGGATGTGCCATCTCACCCAGGTTTATGTCTGTATTTTAAGAGACTTAATTCAAAATGGCTCTAATGATGAGCAAATCCAGCATCTAATCTTAAAGGACAGAATAGTATTATAAGAGGCATTTATGTGCTTGTTGCATGCTCTCAAATTGCAAACCCTCAAAGTACAAAGAAACCTGGTAGATTTGACTTATACCTATGTACATATCTGTCTATTCTGGTTTTAATCCACTTTCTATATTAAACCTTAAGCAACCTGAAGAGAAAAGAAAAATGTCTCCTTAAGCAGTGGAGAGTTTTAATTACAACTAGCTAGCAATCTCCTACAGCCTTTGTGGAAGTGATAAAGTAAGACTTTTCAAATAATTTAGCTTTTAGACAAACTTGCAAGTAAAATCAGAGATTTAATGTACTTGAATAATTATTCAAAAGAGAAATGAAATCTCTGAAATTGCCAAAATTTTTAGTCTTCCAAACATGTATTTATTGTCACAAAGATTAAGATAGGAAACACTTACCAAGCTATATCTTATTCAGTTTTGTATGTATTGCAGCAGCGGTATGATTACATAAATATGCCAGAATCACTAATAGGATGAATAACCACGTTAAATGAGCTAAGTCATTTTGTTGAATGGTCAAGTCACTTACTCTACTTTGTCAAGGAAGGAATTGGATTTATTTTAAGTATAAAATGGCATTTTTGTAAAGATATCAGAATTAGTCACTTTACAACCAATTGAAAAGTTATTACTATTTGGTCAATTGTATAAGTTTTCAGCCAAATATAGGTTTACATACTTGTTTCCTAAAATTTCCCTAAAGTTTGTTAAGAATTAGAATACCTATTTTGTATTCTTAACAAAGGTATACACTGGCCCTAAAGAGAAGAGTACATTTTTCAGAAAAATTATTTCTGTAATATCACTGAGGTTTATAAAATACCAGATAACTGATTATTTAATAGAACTATAACAATCACAACAGTAAGAATTGTTTTAAAGGAAGCACATTAAATATGCAGTATTTTTTCTAAATTATTTATTTATTATACTTTAAGTTCCGGGGTACATGTGCAGAACGTGCAGATTTGTTACATAGGCATACACATGTCATGGTGGTTTGCTGCATCCATCACCCTGTCATCGATATTAGGTATTTCTCCTAGTGCCATCCCTCCTCTATCTAGTTCCCTGTGATGTTTCCCTCTCTGTTTCCATGTGGTCTCATTGTTCACCACCCACTTATTAGTGAGAACATGCCGTGTCTGGTTTTCTGTTCTTGTGTCACATTACTGAGAAAGACGGTTTCCAGTTTCAACCATGCCCCTGCAAAGGACATGAAATCATCCTGTTTTATGGCTGCATAGTATTCCATAGTACATATGTGCCACATTTTTTTTTAATCCAGTCTATCATTGATGGGCATTTAGGTTGGTTCCAAGTCTTTGCTG